TATCGAGCGGGAGCCGTTGTTGTCGTAGCTGGGCCTCCAAGGGCCCACATTTAGGCTCAAACCAACGCTCGAGCGGGAGCTTCACAGAAGATGTAGCCGGCGTCGAGGCGAGAGCGCGCGGAAACGTTTCCGGAGGTCGACAATAATTATTCTTTTTGAAATGAGTATTCCGCAACAACACCAACAACAATCATTATGCCCTCATGCGCGATGTTTCCACACGACGCATGCGACCATCATGATAACCATCCATATCATGGGGGTCTCTTGTTCTATAGCGGGGTCCGTTATTCCCATTCCCAGATCTCCCGCCCAATGAGGTCTTGCAAACATTTCCTCCGAGGAATTTCAACATATCCCGCCTCGAAAACGCATGCCCGCGCCTTGCTGTGCCGATGCGAGACCGCCAGTGGATGCCCAGCGAATGGTAAAGCACAAAGAAGTATCGAACGACAGGATTGCCTTGGTGGGGATGGGGGCTGTCGGCGGTGAGGCAAGGACCTGGCCCTGAACAGGAAGGGGGGAAGTCTCGAACAGGGCTACTGTTGTTGCTCGGAGAGGCCCAAAGCTGAAGAGAGTAGGGCGCCAGTCCAGCGTAAACCAAAACGAAGTCTCGAGCGGGAACGCTGGTGTTGTTGGGACGGCGGCTTTCGGCGGCGAGGACGAACACCGCCTTGAGTAAGAAAGCAGGAAGCATCGAGCGGGAGCCGTGGTTTTGTCGGGGCGGGGGTTGCCGGCGGCGAGGAACAGCACCGCCCCGAAAACAAAGAGAGGAAACCTCGAGTGGGAGCGTTGTTCTTGCTGGGAACGGCGCCAATTTAAAAAGAGAGTAGGGCGCCACTTCAACGCAAAGCGGAAGGAAGTCTCGGGCGGGAGCGCTGGTTTTGTCGGGGCGGCGGTTTTCGGCGGCGAAGAGGAACACCGCCTTCAGTAAGAAGGGAGGAAGGAGCATCGAGCGGGAGCCGTGGTTTTGTCGGGACGGGGGTCGTCGGCGGCGAGGAACAGCACAGTCTTCAGGGAAAAAGCAGGACATCTTGAGCGGGAACATTGTTCTTATTGGGAGTGACGCCAACTCGAAAGAGAGTTGGGCGCCAGTCCAGTTTGGAAAGGAAGGAAGAAGTCTCGGGCGGGAGCGCTGGTTTTGTCGGGGCGGCGGCTTTCGGTGGCGAGGAGGAGCACTACCTTGAGTAAAAAAGGAGGAAGCCTCGAGAGGGAGCGTTGTTTTTGCTGGGGGCGGCGCCGATGAGAGAAAGACTCGCGCGCCAGTCCAAGGTAACACGGGAGGAAATCTCGAGCGGAAACGCTGGTTTTGTTAGGACGGCGGCTTTCGGCGGCGAGCAAGAACACCAGCCCTGATTAAACAAGGAGGAAGTCTCGAGCGGGAACGTTGTCGTTGTTGGGCGGCCGGTTTGGGCTGGTTTTGGCGGCCCCCCAAACCGCTCGGCCGTGAGTCTCATTTTCAATGAAAATGTAGCCAGCGCCTCGGCGAGAGCGCCAGGGCGCCTATAAGGGGTCCAATCATGATGATTGTTCATTAATTAACATTCAACAACAACAGCAACAATCATTTTCAGACTGTTCGCTCCTATCTGCTCACGTGCCAATCAATACGTATATCCCAAACCCTAGGTACCCGCCCTTGTCGCCTTCGATCGTACCCCCTTGGGGGTATATCTTCCTTACCTGCCACGTGTATCTATTGCAGCCCTTAAAACAAGGGAAGAGAGGACGGGTGGAATGGGGAAGGAGAATCATGGAACACGAGAGAACTCAACACGAGGCATCAGAGGCCACAGAGGGCAGCGACGGGGCCGTTGAGGGCAGCACCCGGGCCACGAAGGGCAGCGAGGGGGCCACGAATGGTGACAGCGGGGCCGCGAATGGCATGCATATGGGGCCACGACGGGCGCGAGCGAGCGGGGGCCACGAAGGGCATTTGTATACGGGGCCACGAAGGGCGACAGCGGGGCCACTGAAGGCAGCAAAGGGGCCACGAAAGGCAGCGAGGGGGCCACGAAGGGCGACAGCGGGGCTACGAAGGGCATTCGTATGGGGCCACGACGGGCGCGTGCGAGCGGGGGCCACGAAGGGCATATAATGCGGGGCCACAAAAGGCGGCGACGGGGCCACTGAGGGCAGCAACGGGGCCACGAAGGGCAGCGAGCGAAGTCGACCGCGGAAACAGTACGGGCAGCGAGGGGCATCGAAGGCGGGCGAAGGGCAGCGAGCGGCGACTGCATTCATTAACGGGCTAGTCGGGCGGGCAAACTTTTCTAGATAAAAAACAGGGTGCGAGCGCCAGGAGGGGCACTTCAATCGAAACATATCATGTGCGCCAGGCGGGGGATATAAGCAATAATTGTTATACAGAAGTGAGAGTCCAACAACAACAATAACAACGCAACAAGCATAATCCTCACCGCGGATCTCCGCATTAGCCACGCACTCAGCGACAATGAATGACCGTTCGGCCCCCTCACTCTGATGTTTTGAGCTTATATCTTCGCCCCCCAATTGCCGCTCCCTTCCCCCCACGTCGAGGTCCATCAGCCTGGGAAGGGGACCGAAGTCATCACTTTATGAGCACACTCGCACTGGCGGCGCGTGACCCCCCGAGATGTGCAGGGCCCGCGCGTTCTTCGACGCAGACCAGGGCCCCATCAGACCAGGTTGCGGTCACTTCTAGGCACCAGCCCAGAGTGGCCCGAGCGTCTTCGTCGGCAGCCCAGAAGCAAGCATTTCATCCTTGTGCCCTGGGTCACGCGCCAGGACGCGGAGATCATCACGCCTCCGCGGTGTGGGCTCGGCAGCTGCCCTCGTTCAAGGTGGCCTCGC